TCAAGCTCCGTGTGGCCATCGTCCAAGGCGATGAACTCGCCTAACTAGCCCTGCCTGCGCTCTTCCTCTGCAGCCTCTTTCGAACCAAGGAGGAAAGTGCCGCGAGCTTCTGATGCGGATCTGTCAGGGTCAGGGAATGAGCCCGCGCCGGCTCAGTGCCCACACGCTCCTCACCCCCCTGCTGCAGGTCCCCTTCCAGTGCGCTCCATGACCGCTGTTCTCAGCCCCATCGCTCAAGATGTGGTGTCCTTCGGTGCCATGGAGGGCGCTGAAGAGGAGGATGATGCCATTTCGGTGGCAGCGTCTGTGAGAGAGGAGTGGCCTAACAGCCCGCTAGATTACACTGCGCCCCATGGCAGCGATGCAGGGGACCTCCATCATAGTGATGTCGAGCTCCTTAGCGTCCTGTCCAAGGCAGTTGATGAGCTCGGTATAGAGTGGGCGCCTCCTGCCGAGCCGGCCAGAAGCCGTCTGGACGAGTGGTACCTCCAGTCGGATCGCGGCCGAAAGGACACCCCGCGGAGCCCCGGCCCCTTTTTCCCCGAGGTGCACGATGAGATAACGAAGTCGTGGAACACGCTGCTCACCAGTCGAGTGCACAACCCGGGATCCTCCCTACTGTCTTCTGTGGACGGCGCTGACCAAGTGGGGTATGTTAAACATCTAGCTCAGACTCCTCACTCATCTTCAGAGCTTAGAGCTGACTGTGAATATGCAAAAGAGCATGCTGGTACCGAGCCAGAACATCTCCTTTTTAGGAGTGGAGCTGAATTCAATCAATATGCGAGCGTGTCTTTCGGAGGAGTGCTCACAAAAGCTGATCAGCTCTCTCGCAGTCTTCAATTTAGGGCACTCTCCCCCGCTGAAATGCTTTCAGAGGACTCTCGGCCAGATGGCTGCCGCCTCAAAAGTGTGCAAACTAGGGCTCCTATATATGCGACCGCTTCAGCTCTGGCTAAAGCACGGGCACCTTGCGCATCAAAGTGACGCGCGACTGCTGGGATGCGCTGACCCCTTGGCGCGATATGACTCTGTGTCGCCGGGGTGTTCTTATTGGCCAAGTGATCAGGAGAAAGACTGTTACAACAGATGCATTGAGCACGGGCTGGGGAGCCGTATGCGACGGCAGACCAGCCTTCGGGACGTGGTCAGAAACGGAGAAGTTGTGGCACATAAACTGTCTGGAGCTCCGTGCTATGTACACCTAGCGCTCGAGTGCTTTCTCCCAGACATTCTCTACCGTCACGTTCTCATCAGGACGGACAGCATGACAGTGGCAGCGTTTATAAATCACCAAGGGGGCGTGAGCTCGCGGCCGCTGCTGTCCACTCAACCCGCGAACTCGCGTCCTCGTGGGCCTGGGCAAATGGCATATCTATTCAGGACATTTGCATGACGGCAGGCTGGGCGTAACCCAGCACTTTCGCGAGGTTTTATAACCTAGATGTGTCGTCGCTTGCCGCACATGTGCATGTCAGCGCCTCTGTTATGATCTGAGCTGCTTGCCTCAGTGGTTACATGAGTAACCGAGAGCGTTTTCCGTTTCAGAATGGAAGGTTTGTCATACTTGAGAAAGCAGGGTAAGTACAAGCCCGTTTCTGATAGAGAGGTAGGCCTAACTTATACTCAGAGTCAGTTACCATGGTAACTTTTACTGTAAACCTAACCAGCCGGGAGCAGGTTTTCTTCGTTAAAGCCAGAGTTTCTTTCGGGCTCCTCCCTCTAATTAAGTAAGAAAAGTATTTTTTGCAGTGCAGGTACATTCATTCATTGCACATATTTTCATCATGCAGACACTCTGAAAGTGACAAAAACAGCATGTCCTTTTACACTGAATCCTGTAGATGAGGAGGCTATATTAATTCATAGGGATATACATTTACATTAGGAGAGGATTTTTTTGTTGTTGCCATATTCGAAAATAGCCTATATATGAATGAATTTCACTAAGGTTGATCAATGTTTTTCGTTTCACTAGCCTATAATGTAAGATGTTTTTTCACTTCAGTAATGTGTATGAATGAATTTGACTAAGGTCGATCAATGTTTTTCGTTTCACTGTTTGTAAGAGGCTTTTCAATAATTATGGCCTATACGGCCCCTCATAGTCGACGAGCGGCTGTAACGTTTGTAAGCAGACTTTTTCAGCTGCATAAAACTAAACAGGGTTGAAACCTGTTTAAATATGTTCACCATGGTCCATTTATGTACATAATAATGAATAATAAAATAAACTACACTGAAAAAAAATGAACATAGCAGGTCTTTGAAATTACAAAAATGAAACATGTATGTACAACACAATTCATTTATATTTCTGTTGTGAACGTGCTTTAATCAAGTAGATTTCAATTGTTCATATTGAGTGTTGTATGTACACATTTATCTCATGTTGATTGAAATTGATTGAATCTAAAACTGAAATCAATCTAATTGAGTTTTGACACAACCGGGGCACTCCGGAGCAGATGCATAATTGAGAGGGATGACAAACTGCCATAAAAGGAGAAATTGAATCGAGCACCAAAAACTGTGAAAGATTCAGTAGCTGAGCCAGCAGTCGCCTCATCTCAGACGACAACGTTTACTGAAAAGTAAGTTCAGCAAATTGTTTTATATTTGTTTTCAATATAGGCGATTCGTAGTGTATAACTGTTGTAGAGTGACAATGAAGTGTCAGTTGTTGTGATGACCTGTAGAGGGCAGGCTAAGGCTATTGGTATTTGCTTAAAAAGCAGCAGAGAAGAACTTAGTGCGTGTGTAAATTTACTCCACCTGTGATGTAATTGAGTGTACTGCCGGTTGATGCATTCTGCTGAGTAAATGCAATCTTGAACAGATCTCATGCCTCCTCAAGGCGACGAGGATAAGCAAAGGGGAGTACTTTGAGGATGAAAGGAGTTTTTTGAAAGGTGAAAAAACTGGATCTCTATGAGTTGGAGCTTTGGAAAAGATGGCCAATCTGGTAGGAACAGTCACACCATTTGATAGTCAGTCCCAGTCTTGGGAAGAATATTGTGAAATATTTACCCAAAGCCCAGTGAAATTGTACAATGATTTAAATTCAATTCAAGATCAAGAGAAGAGGGGGAAACTGTGCTTGATTATGTAGCAGTATTGAGGAAATTGGCTCATGATTGTAATTATGGAGAAAAACTGACAGAAATGCTTCGGGATAGACTGGTATGTGGCATAAATGATGACCGTATTCAACGTAGACTATTGGCAGAAACTGATTTAACATTTGAGAAGGCATTGAAAATGGCCCAAGCAATGGAAACAGCCAATAAAGATGTGAGAGGTTTGCAAGCTCAACGCCCAGAAACATCCGTTTCAGTGAGAGTGCATAAAACATCAGTAAAGCAAGATGATGGTCAAAGTAGATGTTACA